TATATAATCTGGCTCTTGTACAGTATCTTAGACACCACCGAGTTCACCCTCCTACCAATGCGCTAATCATTTCTATTCCTCCTCTGATACGTTGTAACTAAATCTCCACAAAATGTTGGTGGAAATTCAGTGATGGCTAGGGAATGCCCTGTTCCATGAAGCCGTTGGTGAGGGTTTCATGTCACATGTCAGCCAGTTGTAATTGTTCATACATGTCATATGTAGGCTGAATGGTGTCCCCAAAGATATTAAGTCCTAATCCCTGGAAACTGTGAATGTTACCTTATTTGAGAAGGGATCTTTGTACAGATGATTAAATTAAGGATCTGGTGATGGGGAGATTATCCTGAATTATGCCAGTGGGTCTTAAATCCAAACACATGTTCTTATGAAAGAGAGGCAGAGGGAAATTCGACACACAGAGAACAGGAGGCGGCAATGTGACCACAGAGGCAGGGACTGGAACGGTGTGGCCATAAGTAAAGGAATTCCAGCAGCCACTGGAAGCTGGAAGAGGCAAGGAATAGATTCCCCCTGCACCCCTTGGAGGGAACATGGCCTTGCTGACACCTTGATCTCATCCCAGTGAAAATGATTTCAGTCTTGTGCCTCCAGAACTGTGAGAAAATAAATTCATCTTTGTTATAAATCACCGAGTTTGTGTAATTTGTAACAAAAGTCATCGGAAACTAATACCATAATGCCTCGTGTCCATTGGGAATTGGTTCCAGGACTCTCCAAGGATACAAAAATCCACAGATGCTCAAGTCCCTAACATGAAATGGTGCTGTATTTACATACAGGGTAGTCTTCCCATCTGCAGATCTGACAAGCATGCCTTCTCTGACCTCATCCAAGTATCTGCTACAAAGCAGAGGGAAGAACTAAAAGTTTCCCAGGTTAAGCCAGCAGTCACCTCCCTGTCGGTGTACTCATTCAACAAGCACTTACTGAGCTCTCATCATATGAAGAGACAGTCAGTCTTATCATGGAATTCACAATATAGTTACATTGAGTCCCTTAATGTCTGTGTATGAAAAGCAGGGTTCTTCCTAAAATGTCAGTATGTCTGTCATTCTTATCCTCAAAAACTTCCAACAGCATCCTGGCTCACCTATCACATCTGTTTCTTACCTGGCTTTTCCTTTTCCTACCTACTTTTATTTCCTTCCAGCAAGATCTAGCAGTCCAGCATACCAGGGTCCCTGTGTTCCCTGCCCTACCCCTCCTCTGTACCTGCCCTAAGAGACCCTAAATACTGGAGCCGCCCCAAATCTCCAAGCTCCGACCTCTTAAAACCCATGTTTGCCCACTCATTCTAGCACTTATCATATGCTGCCCGGCATGACTGTTTAATGGTTTCAAGCATATATATTTTATATCACCAACAAAATGGCAAGCCACAATAGAACAGAGAACTTCCTAAACTATATTTCAAATATAGCCCTAGTTATACAAGAAGTTCAATATATAGCCCTGTTGAAAGTAAGTATAGTGTTATTCTGGAATTTTTTTTATTGATTGAGGAATCTATCACCAAGAAATCATTATTCTTCATGACAAAAGACATTCACAATTTCTTAATCCTGATCTACTATTTATCTACAAGAAACCACTTCACACTCTTCCATGTATTTCTTACAAGTCTGAAAATGTCAACTATGTTTTCACTTTTATAAAAACCTGATGTGCAAGATTTGCTCCTAAATTCTATGTTTTGGACCCCCTACCACACATTTCTCCAAAAATCACTCAACCTTTCCTTGACTGTATACACTATTGTCTCTTATACTACAGCAGAACTAACTTTAATGCCAATTCCTGTTTATAAAGGAATCAGACAATCCAGTTGTCAAGTTCAGCTTCCCCCCTGCCTTTACTTACAGGTGAGGGCTTACGAAGGTTAAGTTGACACAAAGAATAAATTGCAAAGCCTTGGATACACCCCCATTTGCCTGAACTCAAGGGCAGAGCTTCTGTCTGCCTCTCCTGCTGCCTCCCATGTTTGGCTTACACGTCACAGACTGATAACCTTGTAGGAGACATTTTCCTTTCAAAGATGATTTGCTCTAAGTTAGTACAATACTCAATTACGCTTTCATTTTATCAAATTATCTCTCATGGTCACCCTTTTCCTTAAACATTTATATAACATGATCCCATTTTATTAAAAGGTCTTTAAATAACACACTTTTCATTAATTAAAAAGGAACATGGTAGGACAAGAAAGACATAGGACCTATTGCTCTCCTCTTTCTCCCTGAATATATTCAACATTTCAAGTGAAGAATATAAAAAAAAAAATCAATACAGAAGAAATAGCTAATATCAAGATTTTTTAATCCAAAATTCATATGTTTAACTTTATATCTCCCACTAATTGGATTATGACCAAATGGCCACCCAAAACAAAAGTATTCAACATTCCTTTTGGTGAGACAAAATGAGGCTGACTACCTTAGTGCATCATTCTCTTCATAAGCTCTTAGGTAAAACATGGAAAAGACCACAAGAAGGTTAAATTTTCTCTAATTGACTAAATAATACACAAACCTTAACAGCCTGGTGCCCTAGAATATTTTGGGATATTTAATCATTTTTCTCCACTTGAGGTTAATGCTGTAACTTCTAGACATACAAGAATGAAAAACAAAAAGCTATGTTCTGACACACTTGAGTTTTGTGTCAGAAATTTCAGTGCACAACTCTTACAATTATAAGAAAAGTCCATTTTGAGCTGATACTAAAACAAAACAGAACAAGAGTGTAAGCAGCTAACTGGCAGGGGAGTTAGCCAAGACTATCTTGTCTAGCTTTCTCCCTCCCTAAAGTAGTTCCTCATTTAATAAGAGCTAATTTTAAATTCTGACCTATAATAGACTTCAAGAAACAAATGAACTCATTTGCTTACAACCCTAAGGAGTTAGACTGGCATCTATCTATTGGCTGCTATGCCTAAAATACTTATCTTCCCCAATTCTTAGTATGTTGCAGCAGAAATAAGCCTTAAATCTTTGAAATGTGTCACTTTATCATTTAAAAAAATTACATATTCCAGGTAAATCAGGATTTGAACCCTTGCTGTCTGACTCTAAAGACTATGTATGTGTAGCCACTAAATTAAGCCTCCTTGGAGGGTTGTTGGCAGGAGTAAATGATTTAATGCACGTAATGTGTATTGCACACGGTGATAATATTCTTGCCAGGCACCACGACAGGCCCCAGGAATGAGTAATACAGCTTCTATCCTCAACAGCTCAACTTGTATTTTGACACCTTTAGCAAAAGCAGCATCCTTTACTCAATCATCTAATTTATGAACCACTCATAAGATGAAAGGCCCAGTCCAACATGCCTAGCACATAGTAGGCCCCGAATAAATAGCTGTCTAGTGCCAGTGCTACGGTTCTCCCATGAGGGTCATTCTCATTTTGCATCTGCTTCTCTCTGGTGCCCACTGCCAGCAGCTGTGACTTGATGACCAACCTGGAACCAGAGCAGCTACAGAACATAAGGGGTAACCCAATGTGCCCCCCCCAATACACCCACTCCCAGATCACCAAAGCTACAAAGACTGCTAGGCCAGCAGCAGCAGGGGCACCTCTGCATCCAACAGCCTGCTTCCCTTGAAGCCACCTCAGAGATGGGAAATTCCTGCCGGAGGCTTCAACTCCAAATTTCCATACCCCAAACTTCACTCCAGCCCATCTCGGTGCAGAAGAGTCCTTCTCCCACCAAGTGCATGGTATGTGCAGGATGAGACAAAAGCGTGGGAGAGGGCAGGTGAACTGCAGCATCCTTCATCAGAATGCACAACCTTCTATCCCTTGCCAGCACACAAGAGGATTCAGCTCCCACTAGTAACAGAAGCTCCCTACAGACATGAGTCTCATCTGGGGTGTGGGTGGCAGGCCCTCCCTAAGGGACAATATCAGAATTTGAGGAAGGGGTTATGTGAGTGGTGAGAGACAGGGGACTGATGTCCCTCTCCAGTGATTCTGATACGCCCCTGAAATAAAAACCACTTCTAAAGAAGGCGACTGGATGCCAAACATTATTGGTACCATTCCTAAGCTATATGATAGTTTAAACAAGATTTGTGGGCTAGCTTAAAAATACAACCACATACAAAATAATGTTTCTATGTGAGAAAATTATTTCCACATGGAAACATTACCTATTTCCAACTTTAGGGTTCTCCATCAAAGGGGAGGAGAGTGACCAATAGTTAAATGTAAAGTCCTAAGAGTTCTTAACCTGAGATTTATAGAAAGGCTTCAGTGGAGTCCAGTGACTCCATGAAATTGTATGCACATTTTGTGTACATCTGTATTTTTCTGCAGAGCTTATATCAGATTCTCAAAGTGACCCATGGCACACAAATAAATGTTAATTTAGAACTACAACTATTAACTGCTTCCAATCTCTGGATACAGTAAGTATGAGAAATAAAATTATTTTTGTTTTTGTGTTTGTGCGTGTATGTGTTTTTCTTATAAAGACAATGTTAGCTATGTTACCCAGGCTGGACTCCAACTCCTGGGCTCAAGCAAAGGGAGTAAAATTAGTCTGGAATTCTATCTCTACAATCCATCTTTATTCTCATCTAACCTTCTGCCAGCCACATAAATCTGATGTCAGAACTTTTTTTGAATTGTAAGAGAAAAGAAATCTTACTGAGAAATGCAGCTTTTCCATGCACTAACATATAAATATTTACAGATTTCTTAAACTGTTAAAATTTTTCGAGTCCAATAATAACAGGTTTTACTAATGTCAGAGAATGCACTGTAATCACTGGATACTTATCTTCCCACCTCCATCATTACCCACAGTCCACACACCAAATAATTATAGATGTCCAAAATGCCTGTGAAATGCTCTAGAATTTAAACTTGCAAGTTGATATTCAAAAGCTGTGCTTCAGAGCTATACAATCACTGCACAATAAATTGAAGTGTGCAAAAGAATTCCAAGATGTGAAAGAAATAAAAACTGACCTTCATGAGATGCTGATTTATCCATTTTGTAAATGTTTTCTTTTGAACTTTGTCCCGTTCATCTGGAAGAAAAAGAAAGACACAAAATAAGATTGGTAAAATCTATAAATAGGAGATTTTAATTTTGTAAACAAAAATAAGATACTGTATGATGCATTCAAACTTTCTTGTTAAACTTTGGCAATTTTAGGCTATCTGTAAGAAAGTGTCAAAGGGCTATTTGCCAGACTGGTCTCTTCCCAGTGCTGTTTGCCAACATTCCTCCGTTAAACAAATGCCCTCTGCCCATCTGTCCCATAACCCACTACCGCCACCACCACAAAGTTGTCTAACCTGAACCTTACTAGCTTCAGGTGAACCCCTTCACCGAACTTCCCAAAGTCCTTGACCACATATTACATCCCATTTGCTCTTCACAACCATAAGAGGGAAGATAGGTAGTATCATTCCCATTTTACAGAAGAAGAAATCAAGACTTAGGTTAAAAAACTTGTCCACGATTATCCAGCAGAGAGTTTAAAGTCTTGACAAAAGGCAGGACCTAGATTGAGATTCTTTGGCTTGAAGTGGACTCTGCCTTAATTAACTCATCAGAATTAATTATTATGCTTAATTATTCAGCGGAATTATGCTTAATTATTCAGCTTCTCTCCAGGACTCCCTGTGTTGAACTGTCTGGTAACAAAGAAATGCTCCAACTAGATCTTCACTATGGAGAATGATCCTGCCTTGGTTCTACAGAAACAGTGCAGAGAAGGGTGACAGAAGGCTTCTTCTGGTTTAAGGAGAAAGCACAATTGGAATTCTCTGGTTCATATAAGTTATTATTTCAAAGGAGAATCATAATCATCCAACACCTAGAGCTAACATTCAAAACTAAACTACCTTCTTCCTCCCCACTTCTAGACAGAAATTCCCTACTTTCTTATTTCCTTCTTCCCTCCTTTCTGCATCTGGAGCTAAGACACCTCTTACTCTTTCCCTGATGGTCTTTCTTCCTCTCCCACCACAATTCAGATGGTCTCCCTTCTTTCTCTGGTGATAAAACATATCTCGCTCTCTTTCTTCATATCTATTCCTCCTCATTCTTAGCCCTGGACCCCTTTAAGCTATTATACTGAAACTAGGGTTTCTTTGAAAATGCTTGTCTTATTTATTAGAAGTATTTATGTTCCCAAAAATAATTTGAATATAAACAAAAATATAAAAAACAAATCAACTGGGAGAATGTACGCAAAATAAGAAAAAGTTTACTAATATTAATACAGAAAAAAACCAGAAATAACAAAGAAAAAGATAAAACACCTTAATATATAATTGGGCAAAAGAAGACTGGTAATCTATTTTTAAAAATGTAATGCCCACAGGTATTCAACTTCACTAACAAATAATATAAAATAATAACACAGAGAAAGCTTTCTAACCTAGCAAATTGCCAAGATTTTATGAAAAAAAAAAATCATGTTGAAAAGGACACAGGGAACAGACACTTTCATATATTGCTAATGGAAATGTAATATGATTTAAATCTTCTAGACCTACACCATTCAAATTATAGACACTAGTCACATATGGCTATTTAAATTTAAACTGAAATTAATTAAAGCAAAATAAAATTAACAATTCAGTGCCTTTGTTGTACTAGTCACAATTCAAGTGCTCAATAGTGACATGTAGCTAATGACTAACATATAGGAAAGCACAGGTAAAGAGCAGTCCCATCATCACAGAAATTTCTATCAGACAGCGCTGCTCTAGAACAAAGCTCTGTTGGACAGCCCTGCTCTAGGACAGTTTGCCAGTATATATCAAAAGCTTTAAACATATATACACCCTTTCCCAGCAAGTTTACTTCTAGAATTTATTCTAAAGTTATAATCATGGTGTGTACAAAATGTATCTATGAGAATATAAATTGGAGAGTTTACAAAAGGAAAATAAAAGTTTTGAAAAAAACATAAATGTTCAATGATAAGGAAGTAGTTAAAGAAATGTCAGTAAAGCAATCCAATGGTTTGTTCAGATTCAATTCTTTGCAAAGCAACTCAATGATGGCATATTACTTAGAGTTCTCCTACACTTTCATCCCCATAGGAAGGGGGTTGGGGGATCATATACCCTAGTATGTATTTCATAAGCATTTCTTCTCCAAAGCAGCTCCTTGAAACCCCTTCCATTTCCTATCATTATCAGAGAGAAACAAAAAGGTACCTAAATACAGCCTATCATTTGCTTCTGCCTGTAACAAACCTTTTCAGTGCCCCAAACTCCTAGTCTACTTGACTTAACATTGGGTATTAAAAAATTGGAGAAGGAGTTGCAAAAAGCAGACCAAAAAGGTAGAAGCTTGCTAAATTCTGAACATAAATGCTCAGAATTTTTTTTTTAAGAGACAAGGTCTCACTCTGGCATTCAGGCTGGAGGGCAGTGGTTTGTGACTCATTGGAGTCTCAAACTCCCAGCCTCAAGAGATCTTCCCAATTCAGCCTCCAGGGTAGCTGGGACTACAGGTGCACGCCACTACTCCTGGCTAATTTTTTTTTTTTTGGTAGTGATGGGGTCTCCCTATGTTGCCCAGGATTCTCAAACTCCTGACCTCAAGTGATCCTCCCGCCTTGGCCTTTCAAAGCACTGGGATTACAGGTATGTTTGAGCCACCACATCTGGCCAGATTTTATATTTGCTGGTTCCAAATGTAAAATCCCCAGTTATTCTGCTCATAACTACTATATCAGGAATAATGATCTTACTAATTATTAACCAAAAATATCATCCACAAAATATATAGTAATTCCTCTGTTGGGCCCTTAGGGGCACCATCTACACTTCACTCACCTTTTGTCTACCCCATACCGCAATGCTTTTTGGCATTCAACAAATAGATACCACTACGAGAATTAATTTTGTTTCAGAAAGGACAATCCAATTCAGGAAAACAATGCAGAATTACTTAAATATCGCAGTATATACAACTTCATCTCTTAAATAACAATGTTGTCTTAAATGTCTTTTTACCTCTCTATTCCTAAAAAGTCAGAATGAAATTAAATTACTAATTTATACACAAGGCAAGAACAAAGAAAGAGAAACAATCTACTAGTCCTCCTTACTGATAAAACTTAATTCCGTATGTCCCTCCTTTACTCATTCATTCCAGCATCTTTCAGGTCCGTTGATAAGCCCAGTGTCATGGTGGTGCTGGGACTTCCAGGCTGGAGAGAAAGAGGACTGGCCTTGAATTCTGGAGCTCATCCCCCAGAGAGAACACTGGACAGGAAGGCAGTGTGATAGGCACACCAGCTGAGAAAAGATGTGGCCCTCAGCACGGAAGCAAGCACAGAAGAGAGAAGGACCAACAGAACCCTGCCCAGGGCAGTGAGGTGGGGCTTGAAGGAGAGGAAGGAGGGTGGCAAGACAGAAGCCAGCCGTGTAGATTTCTCCACCAAAAAGAAAACTTGATTTAATAATTTAATATTGAAAGAGCCATGGTTAGGACCCAAGTATTGTGATTCCCTCCAGAGTTGCTTCCAGTATCCCCAAGATACCGTCATCTTTCAAATGGAAGCACTCAACACATCCCAATCACAGACAGGGAGCTGGGGAATCTGGCCCTGCTGTGTGAGATGAACTTTGGACAAGTGACTGCAAACAATGGAAGCTCTGTGCCAAAGTCTAGCACTCATATCACACTTTCAGCAGTGCTTTTCTAAGCATCCAGCATAAAGAAAATAGAGTAAACAACAACAAAATAATCACTTCTGAGGTAATATCCATATTATTCCCATCCTATTAACAAGCTAGGACCCTGAGGTTAAATCCTCAAGAAAAAAACAAACAAACATTAAAATGTATTAATGATTTAAAATCTTTATAATTCAAGAATATACAGTTTCCATATCAAGTTAAAAAATATAAGATTAAGGCACTCTTGTTAACTATCCTCCAAAATTTTATTTATTTGTCTAATCATGTAATAATATGAGCTCTTACATATCTACTCTGACTCTGTTCCATTAAATTTAACGTCACATTATGTATATTATATAAACTCTTTTCCTCTTCCATACATAAGGTTAAAAAAATAGATTTCTTACTTTCTAAATTAATAAAAACTAGTCTTATATTTTAAGAAACATGAAGAAGTAGAACATAGGTTCTAAAGATGAATTGGCTAATTTCTTACCCAAGTGGTATATCAAGAAAGCAGACTTAGTAAAATAATTTACCTCCAAGTATAGAGGAGAAATTCACTTAAACAATGTAACTATAAAAAGGTTCCTTTGATCACTGAAGTTTTGTCAGTGGTTGTGCTAGAGGCTCAAATGCACTGCTAACGATGTGAGGTGATGCTAAATATTTGGAAGGTGATACTGAGGTAGTATCTGGGAATTATGATCTACAACTAAAGTGCCTGAGTAAGACACAAAGACTGAAGCTAACTAACACACATAATTCATAAATTCTGATACTGTATTCTAACAGTAACATCCTCAACATTTTCTTTTAAACCATGATAAACCTAGATGAGTCCCACTCGAGTACTGTTCCTATAATGCTATAATAATGAGAAGAGAGTTCGTGTGAATTTTAAGGGCCTCAACTTTCTTCAAGAAATCAACTCACAGTCAGGGAATAAGTTAAGCCTGGGGAGACTCTGTAAATCATACCACTTTCCATATGCATTATTTCAAAAGGGAGTTATTTCAAAAGGGAGTATTCCAGATTACACCATCTAATTTTCCAATTACAAATCTCATAATGGTTCTTTATTTCATTTCAGTCAGGGATGTCTAACACAGAGATTTATATTTAGGGTAATGTTGCTAGGACAACAAAAAGGGAAAATCATTCCTCTGATTTTAACCAATTCTATTGGTTTTATAGACTATCCAGTTATTATTCCGAATGAAGTTTTATAACATTCCTCTATTTGAAAACTATTTCATTTACAGATGAAGTTTTAAATGAAAACATAGATTTATGTTCACCTTATAAATTAAAACATGGCTGAAAATATGTAATGACACTGAATGCAAAATATCAAGAATTTGAGGGAGAAACA